AAGAATGATTAATTAGCATAAAGGAAGCAGGGGTGGGGGTGGGAAGCAGAGAAATGGCACTGCTTCTGCAGGGATGTATCAACAATGTAGAGAGTAACTCCTCTAATGCGACCAATTTATAGCAAGAACTGAAAAGCCTTCAAGACACTCAGCAGCTGTCAAGAAACACGCCATCACACTCTGGGTAGAATGTCACAACTGCGAGGAACAAAGTGTTAACGTAGTAGACAAGAAGCAAGGCAGCATGGTGACGTGACCCGCTCCCTAGAGTTGTCTGTAATTCCAGTAACTGAAATTATCAGAAGTAAAGTAAGTTCACATTGGCTCAATGTTGCCTTTAACAGCTTAAGATGGAAGTGAAACCCCAGAGAACTGCAGCATAGCCAGCCTTAAAGAGACCAGCTATAATTAAGAAATTCTGACAATGTCTTGGCCTCAAATCTTTGAAGTAAAGATAATTGCTCCTTACTCCCCTCTAAAAGTCTAAATTAAAAGAATCCTCCCAAGTGAAGGTTATTTTCCTGGAGATGATTTTGAAAACACAGGCCATAATTCTGGTTCTTAAGAGGAAAAAATAATAATCTTTTATTACATTTGGATGAGATTTTATTTTTAGGAATCACCGCCTGGCTGTGAGTGGCCACTGCTTGCTGGATGCTATTCTCACTTCCTCCCTCATGGCGAGCTCATGTGTACCAGTCTGAACTTATGGGATGGGCTGGAACTCTTCATTATAGCCCAAGGGCTATTGGTCATTATAAACCACAAATCCTTCCTCCCCCAAGAAGTGTCTGATCTTTCCCATTGCATTCTCTCCTTTATACAAAACAAAGCCTGTGGCACTACTGATGTTTGCTGTAACAGTTGTTCAGGTTTATATGACAAGGGAGAGACTTCTTCAGAACACGAGCGAATGACAACTGCCTAGTTCCATGGTGAGAGAATTAAAGGGCTGACTGGCAGCCCTTGGACACCTGATCGAAGTCAGTGATGCTTCAATAACACATGGCAGGTGTTCTACTCAGCTGCTGCAGCACAAAGCAAAGCTGAGTGTTCCTGGAATTTCATAAACAAGCAGTAGGGTGGATCTGGCCCATCCCAATCTAGAATGGCAGGTACCGCAAGAGTCTGAAAGCACAATTTAAATTCAGCAGGATGCAGTGTGGTTGCCAGTCAGTGTGCCTGTGGTGCACAGCCAATGCTCAGGGTAGACATCTGGCCTAAAAATCCCAGGCTTTTCTGTGTGCAGTTCATAGACAGGACAGAGAACTAAGCCCACTGACTAGTAGACAACTAGTAGATACTATGGAAAACTTTTGGAGTGCTACGCTAAAAAACAGTTTTTCTATTCCACCCCAAATTTACAAAACTGATATAACATTTTCCCTTGGCCTTAGAAGGACAAGTTTTGCAGAGGACTTTTTAAAATTATGACTGGGCTGAATATTTATTTATAATCATTTTAAACACCCAAAATGTCTCATTATTAATTTATTTTTCCAATTAATCACAAAATTCTTATTGGTAGGATGTTTTGATTATACCTTTTTTTTTTTTTTGTGGTGCAGTACTGTGTGAACAGTGCTGGAGAAATCTGAGCATGCACTGAGACTTCTTAACTAGTGCATAAAGGTTACTCTATCATCCAGATGTTTGGACTAGATGAATGACAGCTGTACACAACGTTTAACAGCACCTCTGTTGATGACACTCATAGGAACGAAACGAAAAACACCATTCAGACTTCTCACAGTACGAGTTCAGTATTAATTCTAGTATCCTGGGTATATTTTTAACATTCAATAGCGTTGAATGATTGATCAGAAAGTTACTGATTTAGACATGTAGAAAAAGCTATTACCTCTTATGGTGACCTGTATTTTACACTATGGGAAAAAATTTTAAGTTATTTGAGAATTTTAGTATTTTGACTCTTCTATTCCATATTTCTCAGTCCTATAAAAGTAAAACCATACGGGGAAATGTGGAGTGGAGTAGTGTTCATTTCAAACTTTCAGGGCTTTGGGCAAGGGTCTGATGCTGCTGAGGGACCCACAGAGCAAGGCCTAGCTCCACAGGAGACTTCCACCAGCAAAGACTTCTCAAAACTTCAAGGCTATCCTAGAGACTGGAATTTAAGGCCAGCAGGAACCAAGGTCTTAAGGGTTTCTGAGGAATCTGAGTTGAAAATCCTAAGCTTGATCTAGGGTTTTTTTGTTTTTAAAGAGCTAAAGAAAGTTAAGGAAAATTTTTATACTGAAAATGTTATTTGATCAAAACAAAACAAAAAACAAAAAACTATCTTCCAAAGGAAGAAGTGGAGATAAGTTGCCCCAATTACATTTTTTTTTGGAAAGAGACAAGAATAACAGGAATTTGCTAAAATAAAACAAAACGAAAAACATTTCCTTTAAGTTAGTTTATAAGCTCTAGTTTTTCTAAGTCCCAAGATATTATATTAAAATTAACTTTACACGGTAAATATGTTATTTTAGAAGCAAATACAGAATTAAGACTCTAAAATTTTCAAGAGTGACATAAAAAGACATATTAACAAGCTGCTGCTTTCACTATGGGCTTTTTCATGGACTTTTCAAAGTTAGCTTTTCCCTTTGCAAAGACAAAATACCCAGATACTCAAAAGTTTCTCATAGCGTCACCAATACAAATGCAAGCCTAGGGCAAGTGGTAATTTTTCTAATTTTTCTACGGTAAGAGGGCTGTGATCTCCCGGGAATCGGTAACAGGAGTGGGATAAGGTTCCAGAACTCACACAGTAAATGACAGCACCAACACTGAGCTGAATACACATTTCAATTAGCAAAACCCACCTACCAACAAGTGGCTCCTGGGTAATTTTTATTAACGTGCTGAAGACAGCGCTCAGAACAAGTATGGACATGGCACAGGGTGTACATCCTCACTCCAGCTGCTGTAGCCTATCACTAAGGCATGACCACAACATGCAATAACACAATACGAGAAAGAAAGCTGCGAGAATCTTACGGTACAATGGGGCCTGATTCTGCTGCGCTGTCACTGACACTGTTGTCAATGAACTTTACATATCAAATCAGGCTACTTCTCACAAACAGGCAACTGATAGGCCCTTAACAGATTTGGAGGAACACAGGTCAAATGGCCTAGCCCATAATTAGTTCTTTTTAGACATTAAATTGACATATAGGGGTTAGAGGAACCTAAAAAGGGCATTCTTAATCTTAACCAGATACTTTTATGGTAGCTACATAATACAGAAAAGTAATACAGTTTTGAAAAAAAATTACCCCCAAATGATCTTGTAAATGTGCTTTGCTATAATCTCTGTGCAGATTTATATTTCAAATATAGACTGATTGATTCAGGAAATTATATTAAGTATGAAGAAACAATCTGAATGTCTATCAACAGACAAATTAAGAGAATATACACATACAACATACCACTCAGCCCTGAAGAAGAAAGTCTGGACCATGTGACCCACCCAGGAGCCTTGAGGGCGTCAGGCTAATGGGAACAAGGAAGCGGAGCACACCCTGTTCTGCCAAGTCACTCACACTGGGGTTCAGAGAGGTCCAATTCATAGAACTGGGGTGAGGGGAGGGGAAAGAGGCAGCACTAATGAGCCAATAGCCTTTCAGTCAGAACAGTGAATAACTTCTACTGAGCCATTCTACAAGAACCCACAGCCAGTGACGACGCCTGGGAGACGTCATACTACTGGGGTGGCAGACTTCATGCCGAGTGTTATAACCACCAAGGAGAACATTAAAGAAGAAAAGATGATAGAAAGGAGGGACCTAGAAGAACCCCTACATTGATTTTAAATCTGTGTTTCTTCACTATTCCAATTAATCCATGTGCATCCATATTCCTTCTGGGCACAGCTCATAAACTGGATTATCTGAAATAACCTCTGTGGGAAACATTGACATATAATTAAAATACCAACTTCACTTTTGAGTTCAGAATGTGAAAATCTATCACGAATCAGGGTGAAAACACTTTTAAAAAAAACAACCCCAAAGATAACCACATATAGAGTGCTTCTGTAGATGACTACTTATCTGGAAACATTCCTTATCGATTTTGTATTCTGATGACAAACTATTTGCTGAAATCTAACAGGCCTCACAGATATGAGGAATTTTCTTTGCACCATACAGACTTGACTTCAAGAAGGGAGTGCAGGCCTGGAGTGGCCCTGACCCTCCCTGCATTCTTAGAGCTTTGCTGCTGACTAAAGGTCAGCAGCCAACACTTTCCACTCGACCGTTCAGCCCACAATTAAGTTTAGACATCATGCACCAAATTTCCTTATATACCATTCCGCTTGGATGCTTGTTATGGTGTAGAAAGCCTGATAGTTTATAGTATGTATCTGCATGTGGTATATAGGAATTACTGTATTTTACATGCATATGTTAGGTATGTAAACAAAACATACGAAAACACTTTAGTGTAATACGTTACATCCTTATTATAGTGATTACACACCCCATTTAACAGTACATCCTATATTGCCTATTATACTCAAGGTCTGTGGAAAGACAGTAAGTGAAATCTGTTCTACTTTCTAGTCCCTGCAGCTTGTTTTCTGAATTCTGACCAGCATGCTCTGACCTGCTCTGAAACAGAACCAGAGCAATGTGATATTTATTTGCTGACTGTCATGAAATCTGTTAGGACCACAGTCAGGTTAACAAAGAAGCCTCAAGAGCATATGCAAGTGCCTACAAGAATTAAAGGAATCTATAAACACATGGCAGCCCCTCTCAAGTCCAAAACTATCTTCCTGAGTGCTCATTGTTGCTTGGTTCTTGTCTAATAGGATATCTAGAGATAATTGCTTAATATATAATTATTCGAGAAAATAACCTCCAAGGAGATTACTAATTTTATACTGAGGGTATTTTTCAAAATCTCAACACCATATCACACGTGAAAGCCTCTGTTGTGACAGAGCTTGTACAAAGCAGGGATCTACACAGGACACTTACCCTTCTCTGCTCCCTCACGTACTCCACCAGCTCGTCTCTTGTTCTCTTTACTGCCTCCTCCATGGCCCTTTCACTTCTCTTCTGCTCCTCTATTATTGCTGCTTTGACAGCTTCCTGTTTGGGGTAGGAAAGCATGGTCAGTATGGCATGCACAAAGACACACTTGTGCATTTATAGAACTGAAGGGCTTTTTTTGGGTGCAGCTCATTCTGTTGCAAGCCAATCTTTAGACTGGAGGGTGGCCCTGTAACAGCTTTTGGTAACAGAGGCATTAGGAGGAAAGAAATGGAATTAGCCATTTTCTGAAGGAAGTGATGAACCTAACAGATGCCACTTGCTTCCTCAGCAACCTGTCACTCCTGGTTTCTGTCAGATTGCCTTCCTGTCCTCTGCACCCACACAAACTCAGTGTTTACTCCTGCACAGCAGTCATCAGATGCAGTCTGGGTAGCAAGCTTTATTACAGACACTTGGCCTCCTGCCAGGTCAAGATGCTGAGAGCTGGACACCAGGTGGAACGCCACCCTGTTAGCTGCTATTTGAAACCAGACCTCTAGGGAGGAAAGAGGAACTCACTGCCTTACTGAATTGGGTATCGGAAACCTGAGGGATTTCAGAACAGCAGATAAACAGAAAAGGGCTGAGTAGGTAATATTCTAAGACAGACAGACAGGCTTCTCAGAAAGCAACATTATTTTCTGCAAAAATAGTACTTTACTCTTTTATTTTTAATTAAAATAAATAAAATGATAGTGTTTGATTGAAATGAATGCTACAAACCACAATTACTTAACTTCCATCTATCCACAGATGTCAGGACTTTCTACTTGGGTAACACCATCAAAGAGTATTCTCCTCACTTTTGATTCTTGAGATCTATGCATGTATTCTCTTAGTTTTTCCTCAATCAGTTTAGACATGTATTCATGACCCAGAAAATATAAAACAATAATGATTCACTATCACAAGTCTATTTACTGTAGGAATCTTGTAGAATGTAAGAAAGTGTGAGCATACAGTGATATACACGCAAACGTGTAAACATGCAAATGTGTACAAAGAACAAGGGGCAGAGCAGGAGGAAACTGGACATAGAGTCAGATTATACTGTATGTGCTGCCTACGATCTCTGGAAGTTTTCAACTGAAACATGCTCTGAATATTTTCTTAGGCTCTTATAGTCTTTTATAGTATGGTTTATATTCCTTTATACAGTTGCATAATGACTTATTTTTACCAGTTCTTAATAAGTAAATCACATTTATCATGTAGTTAAATTTTTTATTTCTATGCATATTAAATGTAATTAAGCATCATTTTAAAAGTTACACATGGTTGTAGAAAGGCATAGAAAGCGGGTGATTATAAGATGCAAGGGTCAGATTTCAGATGCCACAGAGTTCTCATCTGTGGTCAGCTGCCTCCTGCTCATGTGTTCACTTGTCAAGTTATCTGCTAAGTGTCCAGTAGTACCTGTAAAACATAATTCCAGATCCGGGAGCCTCCGCTCTCCTCCTCTTGATGGGCTGTAATTTACCCACACAAACAGGAAAACAAGAGAAAGAGAAGCAACAATATAGAAACAGAGGTCTCAAAAGACACTAGGGCCAATGGGTGGTGCTGACCCGAATTTTAGGAGTTGCTAGGAGAGATGTCTCATGTCTGTCTGCACAGCCCTTCTAAGAGAAGACAGGGTGTGGCCTGTGAGAGGTGCTTGCTGGACACTGGATGCTTGTTACAAATAAATTTGTCTGACAGTTCTTCTGGGAGTGGCAGGAGAGGAAGAGGAAAAGCCAGGCAGACATCAAAGACCCTGAAAGCTCAAGCCACACTTGTGACCTGGCGCAGGGTTCCCAGGAGCCCAGTGCACTGCTTCCATTCCTGCCACGTGGGTTGGCAAACACATGCTTGGTCAATTCCCCACGGTCATCTCAGCCTCTCCCCAAAGTCAGCATCTGCCTGGTCATCCCCACAACACTCTTCAAACTCACTCTTAATTATCCACAGGGAAGGAAAAGCGTGTGTGAATTCTCATTCCCTTCACTATGGACAAGGGCCAGCCTGTGTCCACACCCAGCCAAGTAAGCAAGGCAGACAATGGATCTGCCTGAAGTTAGATTTTCACTCCCTTAATACATGGAAACATGATGTTTCAGTATGGTAGGTGGTGTGATTTGGTGTAATAAGTGCTAACAGAAGCTGGGTGTGCAAGAATTGGAATTGACAATGTTTGTGTAGGGGAGGATTAGCCCATGCTGTGGCATTAAGGGGTGGGACTTGATGGAGGTACCTACTTCATTGGGGAATTCTAGAAGGGACTAACTAGTCTTGTTCTAGTGGGCTGTGTTAGTTCCTACAAACTCATCTCTGAATTCCTCACTTCCTGTCTCACCATGTGATCTTTGCTTGTACAAATTCCTGCTGTCCTGCCATAGGCCTGGAGTGGCACAGCCCAGGAGGCCTAGGAACAGAATGACAATACTATCCTTCCTGGACTTCCAGCCTCCAAAGTGGTGAGCTACTTTTTTTTTTTTTTCATAATTACTGGGATCAGTTACATTGTACCTACACATGTACACACACACACACACACACACACACACACACACAAGTGGTAGGTATGGAAAGAGACTGCTCAATGCATACAAAGCTATTTTCAAGGAGGACAGAGTTCTGGTGTCCTATGGCACAGTGGGATAACTACAAACAAAATATTATAGTGAATCTTTCAAAACAAAAAACAACAAATGTAAAAATGTGAGGAATATGTCAAATACCTTGATTTAAAACACACAATATAAACATGTGCTGAGACATTAGAGCCCACTATAATTGTATGTGGAGTTATTATGGTTATTATGTTTCTATTAAAAATGAAAGTAACAGATACTTGAATGTCTCAAGCAGGGGGAACTAAGTTTAAGGCTAGCCTGGGCTACAAAGCAAATTCAAGGTCCATCTGAAAAAGAGCTGTGTTGTGGCCCAATGGTAGAGCACTTTTGGGTACGTACACTGCCTCAGTTCACTTTGCCTATCACTGAACAAAGTGAGTCAAAGTAGAACTATCATCAGGGTCTCACCTGCCCAGCTACAGTCAGCAGTGTGCAAACCGTGAAGAGTCATGGGTACTTTGTGTGCTTTCCTGTGTGTCAATACCCTTCCATTTCCACACAAACTTAAAGCTCAAACTGTGGTTCAGAAGGGTTTTCTAGAATCTACAACCTAGACACTGATGGAGTAAAAAGAAAACTTTATCTCAAAATCCATGTGCTGTGCAACAGCATGTCAGGCCATCTTGACTTTGAAGTAATTAGTCTGCACTGTCATGAATGACAAAAGGAGATGAAGAGAATGCAGGAGGTCCTGGACATGCCACCAGGAAACCAACATACCCCATCAACTCAGACGCTTACTGACCCAGGAGGCAGGATGGGAGCACTGGTGACTCAGATGATGGGGACCCTGAATTCTAAGTAAGCAAAATGCTGTCCTCACAAGAAAATCTTATTCTTTGTATTCGTGAGTCTACGCTAAAAAAAAAAAAAAAAATCCTCTTTGACTATATTGATTTTCACCAACTAAGGGAAAACATCCCCTCATCATATTAGAACCTCCACTTGGTTGAAACCCTTAAAGGATTTACTCTCTGGCTTGGTACAGGAAAGCGTTGCCAGTACCTGTTTCGGCCATGGTCTCCATGCTGGAGAGCTGGGCTGGCTCAGCTCTGCAGGTCTTTGGATCTGTGCTCTCTCCATATCTAACTCTCTATTTGTCATCAGCTGCTCCATTTAATGTGACTACCTATAACTACAGTGGCCTAAAAAGAAGTGCCTCAAAGATGGGGCCACTCTCTTTTGATGATCTCCCATCCTCTAGACAGGAAGATGCTTAGAATTTATTTTAGGAAAGCCAGATGTACTTTGCAAACAAAGAGTACTTTGAAAACATGGAGGCCTCCTAGGACAGGCTCAGGGACGATGCAGCTACTGTAGCCATGCTGCCCCCACGTTCTCTTCTTGTCTACGGCCTTCTCAGCAAAGTCAAAGCCACCAGGGACTTGTAGATTTTCTAGACGCTGTTAACCACCTGGGATCACGTCAGCCACATTCCTGGGATCCTCCGCATCTGTTTTTATCAGAATCTCTTAGATTCTAGACCTACGTACTATTTTTTGTTGGCTGATCCTTCCTTTGGCAGACCATCTCCTCTAGGAGTTTTTTTGCCTGGGCATCTGCTTTGTCTGAAAATGTTTTTATTTTACCTCATCATATAGCTGGTGATCTGGATTTCTAGGATGGAAATTTCTGCAGTTTTAAACACTTTGAGAATATGATCCCAGGCTGATTCCTCATCACTGGTACACTGGTTTAGTTTTCCCTCTGGAGCATTGTACCTTTTGACATTGTAACACCTTGTAATACAGAGCTTACTCTAAGAAACATACATTGAGTTTTTTAAAAATTGCAAAAAAAAAAAAATCCAACTTCTTAAGTAAAATTACAATTTTGTATTAGGCCCAATTCCTAGCTATCCTGGGGTAGTGAGGCTTGTGGGCCACAGGAGGGACATACTGTCCAGAATCTCAAAGAATGTATTTGCTTCATTTCTTAAGTTTCATTATGAACCTGGTTATAAGCAGATCAGACATGAGTCTCCATAATTTAGAAAGCTAGACATGAGTCTCCATAATTTAGAAAGCTACACCTTCTAACTCTAGATTTAATAAGTGATGAAGGATTAGTACAGAGTTACAACTTTCCAGTTGTGATTGATCTGAGTTCCATATAGCTGCAGGCCTTCTGATGGACTGCCTGGTTCTTTTCTATATCAGCATGGATTTACTTTAGCTTTTTAAATTATCACATGATCGTTCCCATTTTTAAATTTTACACATTTTTTTTAATTAAAGTATATCACTTCCTCCATCCCCTTCCTCCCTCTAGCACCTTCCAAGATCCCTCCTTGCAAATATTCTCCCAATACTCCCAAACTGGTAGCTTATTTTTCTTTATTATTATTACATATATGTATCTTACATGTAAATATATATATATATATACACACACATATATATATATATACACACATACATACATACAATCTGCTGAGTCTGT